TATATCTAGGCAAAAATATGCGTGAGATGGAGGTGCAGGACGTCGCGCAGGTTTCAGCGTTATACACACGCTACATGCAGAGATTTACTGTGAAGCCAACTATGACGGAAGACGAGATAAGACATCAATTCCTCAGTGGCAAAGGCACAGGGGAGAAGCGAAAGGAGGACCAGAGGCGGGAGGGCCAGGTCGTGTGGACATATGTCATTGAGGTGAATTTTGAATTTTGCTCGAATCGCTCCCTCTTATTAAACATCGCACCATAGAACCCTACTACGCACGATATCACGGATTTCTTTTCCTTCTATTCATTGCCTTCCACGATTATCAACCAGCCCAAGTATGGGGTTCTCGAGGCGGCCTACTTGTTCTACTACGCTACGGATGTTGCGTTCGATGAACGGGCAGAAGAGGAAGGTCGACTCAAGAAACGGCTGCAGGACCTAATCGGCGACGCATTAATTTTGGCGGACCAATGCAAGTTTGACGTATTCAACGCCCTCACATTGATGGACAATGTGCCTTTCTTGCAAGATTTGAAGGTTCGGCCTGATTCTCATCATTACTTGGGCACTTGCTGACACTAATTATTAGTTCGGAGCGGGTGATGGACTGCTAAACTTCTATCTGTACAATTGGAGGACGGCTCCTGTGGCAGGCATGGAGGCTCTGGATGGAGTTGCCGCTGGCAAAGGCGTCGGTGTCGTGATGCTCTGATTTAGGGAGTAGCAGACATCACCCATATATACACGCTTGAGAAAATGAATGCAATGCTGCAGGACAATGTACAACTTGTCTATTAATTCGTACCCTCACAGTGCTCGACTAATCACTGTCAATGTGAATGACGTCGTCATCGTCCACGCCCCAATCCATCTCTGGGCTAGGCGTTCTCGGTTTCTTCGCCTTCTGTTTATCCTTGCGTCTTGAAGGAGGCTGCGGTACTGCTGCACCTCCCGCCCCAACATCCCGGCCACTGACATTGATTGGAGCACGCGCTGCACGAGATGCACCTCCGAGAGTGTGTCCGCCTACACCCCATTTAGGATCTTCCTCCTCTTTGGCCTTTTCCTTGCCTTTGGACGGGCCTGCGGCAGGCTGCGACTGCATCGATCTACCGTTCAAAGTCATTCCTGAACCAGCAAAGGCAACTGGCGGCTGCATTTACCGCATGAGCCAAATAATGCGGTAGTATAATTTTCACTTACGGGCGAAGCAGCGCTTGGCGAAGCGGCCGCAGGGGGAGGTGTGTATGCTGCCACATTGAATCCAAAGAACAGTTTGCCGAAGGGTAAGTTGAGCACCGCAGGGACCTTGACGTCGGAGTCAAGGCTCTCGGTGGTGACCACCTTGTGCTTGCTGTAAACAATGACATTCCCTTTAGTCACGGCGTGCATGGATGATATACGTATGCTTACTCTGTGCGAATTATCTTGCTATCTTCGGGAATCTGCTCAGCTGGTCGATGGCTGATGCCCTTCCCTTTGGTCCTCCTTCCAGCGAGCGTCTCTCCTTTACCCTTGAAGCTCTCCCACGTATCTCCCCCTTTGCTGAGGCTTGTTGCAGCACTTCCTGCAACGGCAAACGCACCGCCTGCCGCACTTCCAGGCCTCGAGCTTCCAGGCGAACTTTCATTTAGGTCAATCTTTAACTTCGATGCCATGGTCGCTGGTGGTGCTGCTTTGGGCCGTTCGGGTTCGACATAGCCAACAGGAGGTGCGAAGTCAACCTCGAGATCCGTGTCTAGAACAGATATGCCTTCTCCGCCCGGATTCGCCTCCATGACTAACAAGCCGAATATTATTGAGTTGTAGTTTATTTCGATGATGTCGCCTTGGGTGAGACAAGTGTAGTTACGAAGAGCTTGTTCCAGACTGTTGCATTGCGTCAATGGTAGTATTTGAGTGGGGAAGCGAGACGACTGACACTGCTTTGTGATCCGAAATCTCGAGGAAGTGCACCGACTGAGCCTGCAACTTGACGAACTTGCCCTTTGGTATCTCGCTACCTGTGATTCGGATCGGATCGCCTTCACTCAAGCGAAGTGTCTTCATCATCCAATAGGGAAGATGAACGACCCCTTCTTCAGCAATGAACTCGAGAACCCCGGCATGGGTGGACGCAGCAGGGTTTGAGGGATTGCGGAGCTTGAACATCCAAGGGGAATCGAGGTCAAGGTTGGTCAAGTTTGCTAAAGCAGAGGGGGGCATAATGACTGCGAAAGATCTTAACAAATTCGCTGCTCATTCTGCTGGAGATGAAGCACGCACTCTTTCCCCCGTACGACAGATTATCTCTTTCACGACCTGGCAGCATGGCTACGCTATACGCCTTCAGATACTCGTCGTACGAACGAGCTTGTGCACGTCCAAATCTCGGGCCCATGCCTCCACCAAATCCTCTGTAACAAATGACATTAATGTGTGCGATTAGACCAAGAGAGCGCCGCGTACTGAGCAAGCTGATTAAAGAATGCCCCTGGGCCACCTGGTCCATTGGGGTCACCGAGCTACAGGATGTTTGAGTTTTTCTTCATATGAGTTTCGGTAAGATTGAACTTACAAGATCCATGAAGAATGTAGTTGATTGTTAGTGATTGTTGGAGTCGAAAGTAAAGAGGCTTGCGTATTAGCACGCCGATTACGCGCCTCAGTTAGGAGGCAAATGTCCGCTTCGGTGTCGTCCCAATTTTCGGCGACGCGTTCAGCAGATCACTCTCAACTCATTATCTACCTCGTCTTGACCTCGTCACTAGTCCTCGATGTCTTCAACGAAGATCAACCAAGGTCTCAATTCCAACACGGCCTTCAATGACAAGGTAGATCCATACCAAATCGTCAGATTCATTGGCAGTTATTAAACGCGTTGTGCAGGGCAAACCTGCAGAGTTGAGGTTGTCCAATTTGGTAGCAGCCAAAGGTTCGTCAATTCCGCGCTAATCGTGCATTCGATGTTGATTATTCTCTGGGCCAACAGCGATTAGTGATGCTGTACGGACTTCCCTTGGTCCAAGAGGAATGGACAAGATGGTAGATTGAGCCGGCGATCATTTCTCGCGATAAATCTCATCTCAATTATATAGATTCAAACTGCGAAAGGCGAGGTAATCATCACAAATGACGGGGCGACTATTTTGAAGAGTATCCAAGCTTTACATCCTGCCGCCAAAATGGTATGTGACCTTCAATATCCACAACGACAGTGATTTACATCTCCGGCAGCTGGTCGATCTTTCAGCCGCACAAGATATCGAGGCTGGGGATGGAACAACCTCTGTGGTCGTTCTCGCAGGAGCCCTCCTAGGGGCCGCAGAGAAAATGCTCCAGAAGGGCATGCACCCAACGATCATCTCCGAGGCTTTTCTCAAAGCATCGACTAAATCGGTGGAATATCTGACAGAAATAGCTACCCCGGTGGATTTGAATGACAAGCAGAGTCTGCTCCGAGCAGCCAGCACTTCTCTCAATTCAAAGGTGGGATTGACATCATATCCCCAAGAGTACTCGATCTGAACGAAACAGATTGTCTCCCAATATTCTTCTACACTGGCTCCGATTGCTGTTGCAGCTGTTACTCGTCTCGTTACACCGACTTCATCGACGGTGGACCTCCGTGACATCCGTGTGGTGAAGAAGGTTGGCGGTACCATAGAAGACACCGAGCTCGTGGATGGCGTTGTGCTCAACCAAAATGTCGTCGTTGCTGCTGGTGGACCTACACGGATCGAAAAGGCAAAAATTGCCATCATTCAATTCCAGCTCAGTGCCCCAAAGCCAGATGTGAGAAGCATTAGCTCTGATGATAGGACATCTTCTGACAACTGAAGTAGATGGATAACACGGTGGTCATTAATGACTACCGACAAATGGATAAAGTCATCAAGGAGGGCCGTCAATATCTCCTCAACCTCTGCAAGAAGATCAAGAAGGCAAACTGTAACGTCCTCCTCATCCAAAAATCAATTCTTCGCGACGCCGTCGATGACACCTCCCTTAACTTCCTCAAACGGCTCAATATTCTTGTCATAAAGGATGTTGAACGCGACGAGATCGAATTTTTGTCCAAGAGCTTTGGCTGCAAACCGGTGGCCGATATTGACGGCTTCACAGAGGACAAGTTGGGTTACGCAGATCTCGTAGAGGAGACCTCCCATGATGGATCCAAAGTGGTGAGAATCACTGGTGTCAAAAACCCTGGGCGGACAGTCAGCATTTTGGCTATGGGGTCCAATTCGCTTGTCGTGGAGGAATGTGAGCGAAGTCTGCATGACGCGCTGTGCGTTGTCCGGTGTTTGGTCAAGAAACGGTGGGGCTCCATTTCCATCTGCTGATATAATGGAAACTGATGCCCAGCCATAGGGCGTTGATTGGTGGCGGAGGCGCCCCTGAAATTCACGTTTCGCGACTACTTTCTCAATATGCGCAATCCCTCAAGGGGATGGAGGCGTATTGTTTCCAAGCATACGCCGATGCTCTCGAGGTGATTCCTACAACCCTCGCGGAAAATGCAGGTCTCAACCCAATTGCCATTGTTACGGAACTACGCAACCGACATGCTCTGGGTGAACGCAACGCGGGAATCAATGTCAGAAAGGTGAATATCGCGCACGTTAGGCAATGTATATTAGCTAACGAGACGTTTTGCACAGGGCCTCATCTCGAATATCCTGGAAGAGGACGTCGTTCAACCTTTGCTCGTCTCAACAAGCGCGATCGAACTCTCGACCGAGACAGTCTGCTTATTGCTGAAGATAGATGACTACGTACAAGCTCGGTGATTCACGCTGTAGCAGTATAGATAGATTACTTGTAATATCATTTCTGCCAGATGTCTCCCTTGGAGTTGTGAAGCATGACAATTGTGAAGCATGACAATTGAGTGCGGAAGGTAACTTGGTGATTGGACTCTTGTGATTCAAATTGATTATTATTGGTCTATTGGATGGGTACAAACCTATATAAAAAACTACCACCAATTCCGAATTTCAGATATCCAAAAAGTGCCAGAACCGTGGATTGAACACGGGACCTCCAGAAGATCTCTGCTTTCGCCTGACTTCAGTCTGTTGCTCTCCCAGCTGAGCTATTCCGGCTTGGAATTGAGCTCCCTCCGGCAATATAATAGATTAATACCACATAATCACATGCGTGATTGTCCACCATGCCTACATTTACTGTGAGGAAATGCATACGATTACATTGGGGTTTTTTCACTGCATGTCGAAGCAATATGAGGGTGTTGTACCCCATCTTGATAATATCTGAGATCCATCGGGCACACGGTGAATAGATACATGCAAGGTGAATGGTAGTCGTACAGAGGGTAATATGCAATCGCGAGCTCTATCATATGACACAAAGATAGCTGCTGAAAATGACGGTTTTGGGAATGAAAAGTGCGTTCAGCAGAAGAAAGATTAATTGTTGTCATGAGATGGGCCAAGACGGTCGATATAATTTGCGGTAGTATCATAGAAAGTCCATAACAGCCCATGTGTAGTGACACTGCGCAGGGCACTAACACCAAGCCCGCGATATATACGGGCCAAGCCAGCAAGTATGGGTCTCGGATTCTCAGGATCGGGACCTGGTATCGATAGGGTCAGTGCAAGTTTAGCCAGTACAAAAAAGATACGAGACCTCTTACTAATCGATGGAATGTATCGTACACTGTACGAGGCGCGTGCCCAGCCAGTGCACGTTGTTGCACCTTTGTCTTAACACTAGAAAGAGTCTCAGCTCCTTATACAAGAGAATGAGTTCGGAAACTCACACGTCAAGGGGATATATCACCGCCCAAGACGATACGCCAGCTAGGGAGCCACAGACAAATGGCACTAGGGATACAGGTATTGGCAGCCAAGCAGGAGTGGGGCCCTGCTCTCCAAATCTTTTTCGATTTAAAAGGTGACGCATAGCATCATACTCGAAGAAATACAGCGCAGTGCCTGTTGTGTCCCTAGCTGGGGGGGAGGGGGTGTTAGCTATATAGATTATTTGATGGGCAGTAAACGAGCGCACTGAAATGAAGCCGCCCCCCAGTGTACAGACCGGGAATGCCCTTGCTTTTATAGATATCTTTTACAACCTCCATGGTTCCAGGAGGTTTTACCAGATGTATTCCATTGGCCTCGGCGATGGTGTACTCGAGTTGTCGGCGAACCTGCACATGGTGGCTAAGCGACAGTGTAGAGTGAAGACACAATGTGGTATACCTTGACAAGCTCAAACGCTGACATGCGTACATCAGTTGCAGCAATCTGAAAGAAAAAACCATTGACTCACGAATACTTGGAAAAGCTATCGTAGCGCCTGCAAGAGCGCCCCCAATCGCGCCACTCGCTGCAACGTTGAGCACATTATCGCGCTCGAAGTTCTTGTGTGCACGAAAATACTCCTTGGTACCACTGTATATCGTGAAGGACGCCGCACCTAGCGCATCCAGTTAGCTTGAGTATGCTGCAAAGAGAGGAGCGAACTCCTTACGAACGAATGATATGGTCACAAGAGGAATCCACAGCCCACGATAAAACCCCGGTACACCCTCTTCCCGATACACCAAAGCAGCGAGTTTTGCTACTGATATTGGCGTTTTAGTCGTTTGCAGCCTGGACTTCAATGAGTCCAACTGAAGTGAACAGTATCGGTGAGATATCCGTAGTGGGCATACAATCAAGACCTACCGGATATCCCGCAAATGTGGATATGTAGCTCGCTGATATGGCACATACGACAGCTTTATTCCCTGCAATACCACATATGTTAAGTTTGTTCACTGTGCTCAAAATGTGGGACTCACGTATGAGGATTTGGTTAAACGAGGTTCTATCAAACCAAGGGTTTGATGGCCTGGTTTGGGTCAATCAGGCTGGTCTCGTGGACATATGTACTGCACATGTGCTTTCCGGACCTTTCGAGTGTGCTCATGAAGCGCCGCTACTGCAGAGTGCCCCCCTGCTTGGGTGATTTGCACGGCCTCGTCGCGGGCGATGGTTTTGATGAAAGAGTGTCAATGTGTGAGAAGGGAAGCAAGTTGTGGTAAGAGACAAGGCCAATGGATCGGAGACTCCAAAATTCCAGCTTCTGACAGGGCGCCCGGTTTCTTTTGCTCTCATTGAAATGCGATCACATGCCCGGCATCCTCCGGCATCGAACGAACGCGACTACGGTAATTATGTTCATGTTCTAATGACATGATCTCTGTGTTGCTAAAATCCACCCAATCTCTTCTTCACCGGTTTCTTTTTTCCAGCTTGCCGGCCCCCAAAAGGACCTGGCAGCACCTGCGTACTCGGGAGAAGTTGTTGTGATGGAGGCTGAGACGCGTCTGTCGAGACCATTTGGCTTCCCGTCCGAGGCGCTGGAGGTCTGCTTGGCTGAGTCGGGTTCTCAAACACAATGGTGTTCCATGTAGGCATGGCACGAACAGGTGCACCGACTCCAACGATTGGTGGTGCCGTTGGCTTGAACGCCACGACCATTGGGGGTACTTGCAACCGAAATGGAGGCAATGTACCTGGTACTATCGGAGGCACCGTTTCCTGTCGGCGGCGGTGGACTGCTATCAGCTGTTGAGATTCTTCTTCATAAGGATCTGTATATGCGTAATTTTCCGGGTCTGCTCCAATGCTCCACTCGTTCAACAGAAGCCGGACAGCGAGCGGTCCGTCAAAATCTTGCGTTGCAGGAGAATCCGTGCGTAGGATATGATGAGGAGGGTTGCTCGAGACACCTTTTCGAAGCCTCAGGTATCCAAGACCGACGGAAGGAGGCTCATCGCCCAAGGTCAGTGCTTCCGCCGCACGCGACATCGTTTCTAATGCATCGATGCCGTCTGCAGCGACACTTGTCCACGCCTGAGGAGCGTACACGTCCGTTGCCAAAAATAGATCTAGAGATAATTTCCGCTGCGCTTCATCTTGAATCTGTATGGGCCCGTCCAGCGACGTGTCGAGCTTGTAGTCGAGCGAATGATCGTCGAGCGATTCGGAATCATACGAAATGCTGGGATCTATCTTTTGCAATGTGCGGGACACGTCCAAGTGCCAAGGCGCTTCGCGCTTTAGATATGAGCGGGGAAGAAGACCTTCTTTTGCGGCATCGCAGCCTCCCGCGCTATTGATGCTGCTCTTTGTGAGAAATGCCGCCCTGGGTTGTTCTGACTGTTCAGTGGTCTCGCAAGAGTCGAACGCCACATCAAACCTATTTCGAATGGTAAGCTCTCGATGGAATGTGTGATTTTTTTACGTTCACAGAAACTCACAAGGTTAACATGTGCTGAGGCAATGGAGTTTCTTGCCAGTAAGAGCACATATTTTGTAGAGAATCTTTAATGAAAGCATCCCTGTCATCAGGGTTTTCATCCATGCCGACGTTGAATATCTCTAGCGCAAATGTCACAATGACAATCAATCGTGATGCGAGCGAGTTGCTCACTTTTATACGCTTCCTGAAGGTCCACCTTAGTACAATCGCGATTTCCTAAGGGGCCGACATTGGCAGGCCTCGTCGCGGCGTCCTCCAAGATCTGAACATCCGTTGTCCATGTAATTGATTCTTCCGTCTCCTCTAGCTGTGCATTCGCGTCGAAACTAAAGTCTACGCGATGTACGCTTCCCCGATCGGTGAGCTGGTACAAGCTTGAGGACGTGAAGTGAGATTTATGATGCAAGAGCAAGCTTCCGGGGCACGCTCCATAGTAGCCGGCGGCCGGCGGCAAATGGAACGCAGGAAAATTTGAAGATATTAGGCCGTTCTCGGAGCGCGACACGTCGTAGACAGTGACCAAGCCATTTTTTCGGGATGTCAAGTATGTTTGAGAATCTGTAGTGCGTCAATGAGTGTGAGTCAAACCGTGTGCGGGGTAGGCCTCACTCGAGGTATGAGTAGCTAAAGTCCTGTCATGTGAACGGTCATGTTTGTAACCCATCAACGGTATCCCCGAAAATCGAACATCCATCCAGATGATCTCGGATGTGGTGCACAGTTGCATGAGGTTGTTTGCGCAAGGCCCCTCGACGGCGGTAATCACATCTGCGCGCTGTCCCAGCGAGAACAAGTCCATACAGCTGTCGTTTGTCTGTTGGATAAATTAATATGACTGAAAATATAGATTGCTATAACGAGCAACGAACGCGCCAATCCAGACGTTTAACGATTTTATCGGAAGAGAATACACAGCCCCCAGCGTTCTCCAGCAAGGATAGGCCCCAGAAGAATTCGTCGCTGCCGGAGTGCCCGGAGACCGTTTCACTTGTGAAGATCTTTTGTCTGGAGTATGGTTTATGACTCGTCAGTCAGAGAGAGAGTGCTGATAGTTTCTTACAGTGATTTCCATCCGCTGCCAAAGTCGCATTTGTAAACAGTCCCCTCATCGTTAGTGTAAACAGCTACGCTTGGTGATGAGTTGATTTTCATGTCAACAACAGGTCTGTTGTCAAGGTCTGAGTTGTCGAGAATGACCCTTTCGATAAGCTGAACGCCTGAAGCATCATCAGGATCGCTGACAGCCTCCCACAGGGTCGTCGAGTTCTGTGTGCGAACAGCCAGATGGTTGGCTGGGAGCAAGATATGTTAGAGGTGGCGTTCACTGAGAGTCGTATCAATGTACCTTGTCCGACTGATGTCGGCTTTGAAGTCGCGACCTGCAGAATAGGTGTTTGAAAAGTGTATCTCTTTTGCGCGATAGGTTGAAGCACGAGTTCTCCATTTTCCGCAGGGATAAACGGCGATATATCTAAAATATTAAAGCGCTGTCGCAAGCGAGAAACCCGAGGAAGACTGACTCAGTTCTTGGTTAAGTTCACCCATCGGAAAACAGAGAAAGGTCCGGGAAGAGGACGATGGACCAGGGCACTTTAAAGAGGCAAGAAGGTTTCCGACATGAGGATCATATTTCGCAATTTGAAGATCCTGCTGTATGTCTGCTTCAATCTCGTCTCTGATAATTTCTGCGGGGATGTCAATGTCGGGGAAATAGGTTCGTAAGAAATGGGCCTAAATTGTTCAATGAAGGGTGTAATGTATATATGATGGCATGGGTACGCACCCCTTGGTCAGCTCTTTGCGTTGTCGTCGTTTTCGGAGCCCGCAA